GGCCCAGGTGCTCCCAGTCAGCCCGAGTGGATGGCCCTGTCTACGAATTAAATGAACCTGCAACAAGAGGAGCTAGAATCAAACAGGTCATGACTGAAATAACAAGCACTTCTCTCCTTCTGTGATATATATTTAGAGAAATCTTGTATTTGGCTCCTCTCCTCTTGCTTTCTTTTTGGTTGAAATCCAATTTAGATCATCCGCAAAATGCACCAAATACAGTGATATTTATCTCATGTTGAAGGTAAAACCTTAATCTGCAGAAGAACTAGTGATTACAGCTTTCAGAGGGATGCAGTGGAGTAAAAGTGCAATATTTTTACTCGCTAATGTGATAGAGGAGAAGCGGAAAAGTACATTAATTGAGTAAATGTTCTTTGTAATGTTCCATCTCTGGTAAAGAACAACACAATGTAAATATATTAATCTGAAAATGTGGCAAACCTTTGTGTATGAGCGTATTCACAGAGGTGACTGCAGCGGCCCTCAGGATCATGTATTTGTCACAGGAAGGAGGGAAAACAGCATTGCACATCAAAGAGTCTCTAAAAGTGTTGATGCCGGAACATTCCTAAGTTGGCCACAAAGGCCTCATCGCTGTGTGTACGCCTCTCACACTTCCAGGGCATCTCCAGTTTCCTGCACTCCTCCGTCCTCTGCAGCTCGCTGGAATTCCAACTGTTGATAGAGAGCCGCCCTAGGCGGAGAAGCTCCGTCCTCGGATTCCTGTAATGAACATATGCTTATATTTCATGGATTTCTCAGGAGATTGTAACCCACTGTGACATACGATGAGTGCTGCCAGCTACTAATAGTGTAACGTGTGCAAGCATCTGCATTTGTTGTGTTTTTATTCATTCACTCAGGATTTTCCTTTTAATTTGTTGCCCATCTGTATGTTGTTTTTTTCCTCTTCACTGTACGTCTGGGTATGCTATGTTGAAGGAGAAGCCTGGCCTTTTATTTCTCTTATTGTCAACGAAACCAAAATCAGCGATGTGTTAGATGTATAGATCTTTAAATCTTTCAATTTCAGGGAAAGTATCAGTGTTGTGTCATTTTAAAAGAAGAAGGAGAAGGTTTTCACTTACAGTTGGAAAATTGTCCAATTCACTGATTAACAAGAGGAATGAAAAGTCTGTGGGGAAGGACATTATCAATGACTATTACCATGCCTGGAGCAGTGATCGGATGTGTACATAAACTATTCCTTTGAATATAGTGACACCTGGTGGTAACAATGGTTTAATACGTCTGGTATGAGGGGATTGTTAGACATTCCTTCTCCACTAGGGGGCCATATTGGACTTGTTTGAACTTTGCAAGTGTCTCTGCTACTGTGGCAAATTGTGGATAATGTTTTGCTAAGATGATGAAGATGATGAGGTTTTCATTATCTGTTCCTTTTATGATGAAGGTCACTGAGCCCTCTGATGACAGTCAGTATGAAATATCAGTCTTGGTTTTTTTAAAGTGTTGACAGGAAAAAAACAGCTTTTCAAAAATCCTGACGTGGGTTTAAGGCTTCGACAGTGAACCGCAATGTCTGCAGTTGGAGTTTGGATGGAGATCTTTGTTGCATGTGGTTCCTCATATCTGTCTCCTCCTGTCATCTCTCTCCTGTCAAATCTCTAATAAAGACATCAAAAAACCCCTTTGACCTATGATTGTCATCCTTCAGAGACAAAATTGGCTTGCAGCTATTTCAAACTTTCTTGGAAACACACAAGTGTAATATTTTGGAGTAGTTTTTGGAGTAGTATTAGGATCTGCCTCTTTTTAATTTCCTCAGCCTAGGATTAACCCCCCATAACGCTGTGGTTGTAGGTGCTGCCAGGTGGTTCGGTCCTGGTTGGTGTAGCTGCTGTAATGTGTTGTTGTCTGAGCCACACTAGCTTAGTGCTAACCAGAGCCACGGGCTTTGGCTGATACCTCAGACCAGGCCCTGTTTAGATAGGGCCACCACTGGTGCTTCAGGGAGGGGAGACTGAAGCCAGATGCCACAGTTTGACTGTCTGTAGGTCTGCCAGGCTCAGACAGCACGTCGTCACCCTGACCGGCCAACCACAATATTTATGGCCTTGGTATGATTATGGCTTTGGTATTCAGCGGTGGAGGAAGTATTCAGATCCTTTACTCAAGTAAAAGTACTAATACCACCCTCCGTTGCTAATTTTAACTACTTTATATACTAATGGGTAGTTTAATCTACAGCAATTCATCATATTCTGTAAGATCGTCATATGTGTGTAGCGTCGCTGTGATCTGAGAACCACGTATCTCTAAAAAGTCAAGGTTTTTAAATAGTTAATTTAGCTTAAGAAGCAGGATGATTTTCTCAATCAATAAAGGAACGATTAATCTTTCAGTTCATCACAAATATTCAAATCACCTCATTTAGAGATACATGGTTTTCACTGGACAGGAAGGGTATGAAATATTGCAGTCTGAAAAGTAACTAAAGCTGTCATACAAATGTAGTGGAGAAAAAGTAGAATATTTGCCTCTGAGATGTAATGGAATAGGAGGATAAAGTATAACATAAAATGGAAATGATAATTTATAAAATAATATATACAAGAACCTCAAATTACTTGTGCAGGATTCAGTGGCATCAAGTGGTGAAGCTGCAGATTGCAACCGTTTGAAAACAGCTCGGCCTTCCAAGCATCTAGGAGAAATTACGATCTAGAGCCAGTGTTTGGTTTGTCCACTCTGGGCTACTGTAGAAACATGACAATAATTCTTATTTTCAAGTGATTATACACTACTAAAAAAACATTCCTATGAATATTATATCTGCCAGCAGACCTTCTAAAATGTTACACACTGGACCTTTAAGTAAATGTACTTTGTTACATTCCCTCCACTGTTGGTATTGCAATAGAGCCCTGTGCTCTGTGCCCATACAACCACTTTCACTGCAAGTTTTCCGCGTGTGTCTCAAAGTGCACCCGGGTTCGAAATGGATGTGACAACCCTAAATTTAGATTCCCGTGTGCGAATTCATCCTGGCCCGAAGGATTCCCAAATCTGGATCACAATAAAAGTGGCTCATCCGCGCCAGCAACGCCTAACATTGGGGCACACGGAGAGAAACCACAAGAAAGCACTTCTTCCTGGAGACTACAAAACAAACACAGCGAGGAGGTCAAAAGAGCAGACTAAGAATATGAGGACTTTGGACGGTTCAGGAAGCTTCGTGAGGTGGGACGCCAAATACAATAACGCAGCCATGAATACAGGAGGGAAGGTGTTCAGGAATTTGACCTCATGAAGTCATTGCAAACCCACAATGTCTGGTTCCCGGAGTATGAAACTCACTCAGATTTGTTCCGTGGGATTGTTTGTGTTGCTGTAGTTATAACACAAATGCTGTCAGGGTTGGATTTCCATGGATTCCCACCAATGCTAACAATATAAACATAAATTTAATATAAATGTTTGCAGCACTGGAAGTCACTTCAGATTAAAGCACCCCAACAAGTGGCACCTGAGCTCAGAAAGGAACATCTGTGGACAATAGTGCCATCTGGTGGAGATTACCCTTGAATTTCATGGTGGATTTCAAACAAATACTCAACAGTCTAACCACAGAGTCTAAGCAATTGTATGCAAGTTTGCTGTCTCACATACAGCCACAATTATTGCAATTGAAGGTGCTGTAAAATTCAGATTAAGCTTCCTCTAAAGATCCAGCAAGCTACAGCAGAACAGATGGATGTTGAAACGACTGCTGTGAGATCACAGTGCGGAGGAGCTGCAGTGTAAACACGTTGGGAGTGATGTCAGTGTGTGGAGAAATGAGTTTATACAGAATTTGGGGAGTTAAGCTGTGATTGTGGTGGTCTGGATGAGGTTTAGAGACCAAGCGAGTCTGGGAAAATCCAAAAGGGAGAGAATTTAATGACACATGCTCCTCTTGCTAAGGCTCCAACACTATGATGCCTTTTGAGAAAAGCGATGGCCAATTGTACACTAATGAAAACATCCCTATGAATATTATATTCCATTCCTGCCGATAGATCCTCGTAAACGTTACACACTGGACCTTTAAGTAAGGTTTTGAATGCAGGATTATTACATGTAGATGACTATTTCTAATAAAGTACCTTTATTGAAGTAAAGGCTCTGAATACTTTTTCCACCTGTGGGCTCAACTTAGAAGGCCAAACATAAGAACATGTAATCAAGAAATCAACCAGCACAATGTTACATTCAAATAACATAAACAGTATAGATTTGTATTGATTGATTGTCCACGATCAGGTTGGAAAGTTGGAAATTTGGGGATTTGATGACACTCTTTGGCCACCATAACAAAATCGGAGATCTTTAAGGTATTTTCAATAAAAAAATTATATAATTTCCCACAGCACATGAAGGCAACAGAGAAAAAACTGTGTGTGGA